TATCAGGTCATTAAAAGGATTTTCTTACTCCTTCATAGGAGCAAGATGATGACTGGGATGATGATGATTGGGATGATGACAGTGAGGCTGGCTCAGCTGCTCCTCCACCTTCCTCCCACCGTGGACCCGATGCTGAATCTGTCTCTGGTTGGTCTCATTTCATCTTCCCATGGTGAAACCTCATTGAAATTTCAGTTCTATATTTCCTTTCTCATATTTCAGCAAAACTAGGAGATGGTAAAGGAACAGTACGCAAGACATTCAATCGCTTTTCCACATTTGTGAAATTTGGAGGTGAGGACTACATCTTAGGGGAGTCNGACATTCAATCGCTTTTCCACATTTGTGAAATTTGGAGGTGAGGACTACATCTTAGGGGAGTCCCAGGCCAACATCTCAAAGGATGAGCACTTGACCATCATTGTGAGTATATACAAAGAGTCTGGATCTTTCAATCCACCCTAGATTCATTGGTGTTGCATTCTGCACTACTAGGATACCGGTGAGGACTCTGGGGGAGTAAGATGGGATCCCCTACCTCAGTACTACACTTGTACTGTGACTCAGCCAAAGAAGGAATCCAAATTGAAAGGTCTCAAGAGCTACATTGCCTACCAAATCACCCCTTCAGTGAGTCAGAAAAGTCCTCTGTATGTTGAAAGCATGTGAATGTGGATTGCATCATTTGTGTTGGAATTTGCTTATTTTAGTTCAGCAACATTGCTGTTTCTCGACGGTACAAGCACTTCGACTGGCTTCACGAAAGACTTGAGGTGAAATTTACCTTCATCCCAGTTCCCCCTTTGCCTGACAAGCAAGTCACAGGTGAGACTAGTTCTTGCCCATTTTGTGCATTTTTTAAAATGATGAATGAGTTTGTTGGGAGCAATCAAACTTATTATTTTGGTAGTGGAAGATGTGTGCTCTTGACTTCATCCAAATGTTTGTACTTTCCTTCAGGGCGTTATGAATCAGAGTTCATTGAGCATCGTCGATCTATGCTGGAGTCATGGGTTCAGCGAGTGAGTCGGCATCCTGTCCTTGCCCGCAGCGAGGTCTGGAGACATTTTGTCTCCTGTACAGATGATAAAGCATGGAAGGTTGGGAAGAGAAAGGCAGAACGTGATGAACTTGTTGGAGCAAAGCTCTTCCTTGCAATTGATGCACCTGAGAGCCCTCTTGCACCTGATACTGTGTATGTTGATTGCTCCTTTTTTTTTTCCTTCACTGTATCTTGCAATTCAAATGCAAAGATTTTTTCTTTCATGCATTTTCTACTATAGGGAGTTGCAGGTAGAAGGGTTTGGGAAGTTTGTGCACCTCCTAGAGAAGAGTGTGGCAAACCTGCAGGTAACAGCACTGGACCAGATCAAGAAGATGATACGTCACTATCGACGGGAGCACCTGACAGTGGGCAATGCTTTTCGGCAGCTTGGGACTGCCCTCGACAATGATACAGCCCATTGTATGCTCCTTTATCTTTTGTTAGCATTTCCTCTCATATTAACCAATTTGAGCATTCTTCATGGATGTGATTTTTTAGACCCAGAAAAGGTGAAGAATGCCCTGAAGTACACTGGGCAAGCATATGAAGACATTGCAAAACTTTGTGAAGACCAGCCCAAAACAGACTGGGAGCCGTTAAGTGACAAGCTTCATGAGTATCGTGGCATGTTGTCTGCCTTCCCCGAAATCCTCCACCTCCATAAGGTAGGTTTTTTTTTTTAAATCAAGTTGTAAGAAATTTTCATTATGATTTTATTCAGAATGTGTCTCATTAAACATGAAATTATGAAGATTGATGAGTGAGCAAAAAGAGAAGGAAAATGAAGAAATATGTGTTACAGCTTGGTGGGTCTTCTTGGGGACTCGCATTAGAAATGAAAGGAATAGAAAAATACTGATTTAAAGCAGTCTGATAGTACAAGCAATAGTCTCAGGACATGCAATAGGCTTTAAAAAAGTTCATACCCTATAAATCCTCTTGAATGACAATCAGGCAATTGCACCCGGATGTATACATTTTCTTGTTCTCCGCATGGGACCTTCATCCCTTGAGTTGTATTTTTTTTCTGATTTCATGATCCCTAAGCTCCTGTTTCATATGTGATTTGTATCTCACTTAAGCTTTTCTTTTTTAATCATCTATTTTTATGCCAGGGAGCCTTGCAAAAAAGAAGAGAATACCAAAGGCTTGGTGCTGAAGGGAAATTGGACAAGCAGCAGGTGGATGGAGTGGTGAGGCGAACGGACATTGTCAGCTATGCTGTCCTGGCTGAGATGTCACACTTCCGTGAGGAGTTGGCCAGAGATGCCAATGACATGATGAAGGCTTATCTCAAGGAACAAATTGCCTTTTACAGACGGGTCAGTTCCATTCCATATCTTGGTATCACTGAAAAGACTGTAAGCTGTGGTTCATTTAGAATTTTTTTTTGTGCTTTTGGTGCTTTTGTTTTTCCTTCATGATGTGTACCATTTTCATTACAGATTCACAAAATTACCTGAAAAGAGAACATTGTATACTCAAATATTCAACTAATTAATTCTTACTGAAAGATTGCTTCACATAACTTCAGGCCATCAATTGTAAAGCATAATTTCTGGGACATCCTACTGTATGTTTCATTAAACACAGTTTTATGTTATTCAATTCAAACATTGAATTTTTGCTTCAAAATGTATTCCATTCTGGTGCCACAGGCTGGTTTGAACATTGAGAATTGTGGAGTTCACTCTCTTAAGGATAAAGAATTGTTGAAATCCATTTCCAAGGTATACACTTTGACCAGACCCTTTTCTCTTATTACAGGTGAAAGAAAATCATTGATGATGTTGCATTTCAGTATAGCAATGCTGTGAAAAGGAAAGAACATAAGAATTTCATCTTATTACCCCTTCAGCCATGAATAGTATCTTTTGCAGAAATCTTCACTTTCCCGCTGTCTTGGTGACCCTAAAGTGCAGCATCTTCACACTTGTCTTTTGCTATAAAGGGCAAGAGTCTGGTTTTCAATTCCAACATATGAGACTATAATACACTTCCTATTCAAAGGAATTCATCCATGAAAAATGCCTGCCTTTTTAGTCATGAGTGTTTCTGGAATACATTCTTGCATAAGACCAAGCCTTAGAGAGGAAAAAAAATAGGGGGATTGGAATTGCATGGAATAGATCATTTTAATGGTTCAAATTTTCACAATGTGATCAGACTTGAATAGCATAAAAGAATCACTTATACATCCCTGAGGAGGCTTGAACAGCTTCATTCAATTCAGTCAGTGGTGCTATGAGGAGGGTCTAACTCTATTTTCTTCAAGAATCCCTTCCATCTAGTAACTTTCAACTCCCCCTCACACTCCCTTTTTTTTTTTAAGTACTGCAATGTCCAACATATTGAATATTTTCAATCTTTGCAGGTGACAGAGAAGCTGGAAGATTCACTGAAGCAGTATTCTTAAGGAAGATGGAATTGATTTCGTCCTGCCAGTCTGCCATCAAGATGTGTAGCTGGCATTTACCATTTTTCCAAGTGAAAATGACTGCAATGTGTTTTGTGAGCATACCATGCTTGCTCTGTCCGTCCTCCCAGACCGAGGAGATTTCTGGCTGTCTATATAATATTCCCACAAAGGGGAAACAAAGCTTTGGATCAAGTGTACGATAGCTCTGTGATGCCCCTATGGAAATCAGAGTATTTTTAAATCAAATATCCCTCTCCCCTTTTGCATTCACTTAATATGAAAAAATTTTATTTAAGTTTGCAAGATTAGAGCCCACTTCTATTTTCTTGTACAAAAGGGAAGTGAATGCAGCTTGGCAGAGCATGCAGACATTCACAGTGCATAATTCAAGTCCATTCTCTTTCTCAGATTGTCTCCATAACCCCATGCTTGCATCACAATTAAGCATTCATTATTTTTTTTAGCAATTACATTGATCTGAAAAAGTATGAAATGAATCTAGAAGTCCATTAAGTTAATCTGAATTCTGTTTGATTGATCAAATTTTTGGATTAAAGGGTGCTCTGGTTGGTCTTTTCTGCCCCACCTCAGTGAAATTAATCCCAGCACTTGCCAAACCAGAAAAACTCTTCTTGCTCTGATAGATGAACTCAATTCTCATGACCTGAGGTATTTGGTGCTGGATGCCACTTAGTGCATAATTTTGTATGGGATGTGAGGGCTTCTATTTGGGATCCAAACTCTGGCTGGGAATCCTGAGACTCAAGATACTAACCAATGAAATACAGAACCTGAATCCTACAAGCTTCCCCAAATTAGCAGTTCTTGCCATGCTTTGTTCACTTTCTCTCTTATGATAGCTTTTTTTGTTGCACATATCGAGATTTGATTCATGTACCTTTGCCTCGCATTATCAATTAGGATTGTGCTTCCCTTAAGGCAATTTGATTGCCTTCAGCCAGTAATTTCAAGAGAGACATCTCCAGGCACGTCTGTTAATCTGTTAATTTGGCTGTGAGAATCTTGTGCCTTCCTCATGTGAGATCATTGACTGCTTGCAGTTATAATCACATGTGAGCAGCTTCTGGGAACAGATATCTGAAGTCAGTTCAGGTAATGCCATCTAGTCTGAGTGAAGAGCATTCACTACATGGATGGGAGTCTCTTTCTCATGACATTATGATACTTTTGTTATCAATGTCCTTGTGCCTAACTTTTATTTTCAATATTTTTGCAAATGCTGTGCTTATGGTGGAATATTCCTTTATTTCCACTCTGTTCTCCAATGATACTTGCTTTATAAATGATTCGGTGATATTTCTATCCAATTGGTTGATCCACATTTGAAATGTAGATCTTTTGCATGCCTTGGAGACAAGAAACAGGTGTTGGGAACCAGTCACAGGAGTTTCTTGGGATGCCTCTTTCACACCATAGGTTGCTCAAGTCTCTGCAGAAATAAAACAGACATTTCAGGGAATGCCTTCATGTAAATCCAGGATTTCTTGGTACAGTTGGTGGTATTGGGCCAGTGAATCTAAATATTTCACTTGGCTGCCTGCTCGAGGCAAAACATGATACTATGCTCCATTCCTGAACCTCAGTTTTATCATGTTGTTATTGATGCAGTACAAAGGATCCCATGCTGTAACTAGATGTAACCTTCTTGAAGGAGGTTAAGACAGAAGAAAAGAGAAAACATTGGTGATGTATGGCAAGAAGGGAGATGGATATGTGTCCAGTTAAACCTGATGCATCTGTGTTGTCATCCTCCCCCTCTCTCTCCCCGGGGGCGGTGATGCAACTTCGAACACTGAATGCCTCCACAGGAATCCCCCTCAACACACCTTGGACCTTCTGGTTTGAGAAGTTAGCTTTGTCTTTTTTCTTTCCAAATTAAATCATGAGCTCTTTCAGGATACTATTGTTGTGAACTTTAGCTTGTGGCTGGGGGTGTGGGTAACTCAAAGATTTGCTTTAACCCTTTCATGGAAAAAATTTTTTCTCATTTGCAGCCCTCCCAAAAAATGGGGAGGGTCAATCCTTTCCTGGGAAGCATACTTCCCACTGCCCACAATAGGGTTAAATCATATTACACTTTAACACCAGCACTTTGAATAATGATGGTCAAAATAAAAGACATCATGGAATGTGTGAATATTATCACTGAGTTTCATCAAACAGAGCAATACTAATATGTGAGTGTGATGAATTTGAATGTCTCATGATGCATGCTCATACTGATTGAAGTACTTTAAATCTTCTGTCCTTGTCAGCCCACATCCAAATACCAAAACAGTGCTATACCATTTTCTAGGAATATTGAAAATGAGCAAAATGTATTACACAAGACTTTTGGATGTTAGATCCACCAGGGGAGCATCAGCAGAGGAGTATGAGAAAGGTCTGAAGCAGATCTACACCGTCTCAACAGTAGAAGGCTTCTGGGGTGTCTATAACAACATTCCTGAGGTCCATAAAGCCAGCCACATCTCTGTTCCAGTTTTTGTAGGGCCATTCTTGAGATAGTTTTTCACCTCACCATTTAACATTCCAGGTTGGGGAGTTGAGTGTACGATATTCTTACCACTTGATGAGAGGAACAAGACGCCCTGTCTGGGAAGACCAAGAGAATTGCAAGGGAGGGACCTGGAAGCTCAAGTGCCACAAGAGGGACTCTGTGCGTGAGATATCACCCCTCTATTTTATGTAGTTCTGAGACTTGTGAAGCCAAATAACAAATTTTGACCATTATTTAACCATGTCACAGCAAAACTGGCCACCAATGTCATGTAACAATAAATTTGACAGTTTTACATATTTGTGGAAGCTGTCATAACTGAATCTGCTTTTTTTTTCTATTTATGATCTGAAACTAGTTACTTGATGTAGATGCCTTGTAGATGCTGAATTTGGCAACTGGTGTAAAGACTCATATTTGTCAATTATTTAGGATGGTAAATGAAAAAGTGAAAGGTGTAATCAAATTAAAAGTGACCTCAAAACCTTAAAGTCATTGAGGACTTGTGATAAGGATGAAACTGCAGAAGCATCTTTTATGTTCACCTGAGGCCAGATTTATATACTGGGGCATGTTCTTTTCCTCTCTGCCATATGCAAATTATCATGATCATTTTGGGATAAATTTGCATGCTCTATTTCACAGTTCATATATAAGAATTATCATAATTAAAGCATAATTTGCTTTTTTTCCATAGATCTCTAACATATTTCTGTATTTCTATATGTTTGAACATATATTGGTGCTGTACCCATCTTCCACTTGAAAATTCCTTTCTGCATCTTCACACTGGGAATAGATGCCTCAGAGAGCCCTGGAAAGCGCATATGACCAGACTTCAATTAGTGGGAGGAAATGCTATGAGCGACTTTATGTATTCATTGCTAGCCAGCCTTCCTGCCCAAGGTTCACACTAGCTTTTATAAATCTTGAGTCCTGGCTTCAGCTCCATGGGAACATGTTCAGATGGTTGTCAATGAGTCCCACAGACTTAGATGTTCTGCAAATGTGAGTCCCTCCAAGAAAATATGAGTCAGGGACTCACTATAGTGAGTTAATGTGAACCCTGCTGCCTGTACAGCTAAAGAAGACCATCAGAAAGTTTTTATGGCATATAAATCCACCTAATAAACATTAGTTATCTAAAGATTATGAAACATGCTGAAATATTTATGCAAAAAGTTTTACTATGATAAGTAAATTCCAGATGTACATACAACATCTCAATAAAGTTGCAAGAGTTACGTTGCAGTTATTAATATTTTATACAAAAATTAACTGAACTACACATAACTATTATTTTTAGTTATGAAAATAATATGCACTCAAAATATTTAAAGACATAACACTCATGTGTTGAGTGAAGCTGGTTTTCAAATTGTACAAATATTAGTATGTTGTTTCCTCCTGTGATTCAGACTATAGTATGGAAGGAGCTCCTGTTGGCAGCAATCGGGGAGCAATTTGAGGACTATGTAACACCAGGGGACGAAATAGTTGGAATATCTGTGTCCGTTCGGGAGAAAGACAATCTGCTGCAGATCTGGAATGCAGATGCACCCCTTGGAGAGGATCCACAAGCCCGCGTCCTCTACAAGGTCCAGCAACTTCTTCCAAACACTCAATTCCTCTCCCTCTTCTACAAACGTGAGTCCCCACTTATTTTTCATAACCCACAAATGAAACAGCTTAGATGCAACACATGGAGGTGTAATGACATCAGTGTTATCAATATCAGCTGACTGATATCTGTAGGTGTCGATAATCTGGCACATGATATACCAATATGCTGGTATTAACATTAAAATTCTGACTCATAAAAATCTATGGATATTGCATGGGATGTAAACTGTGCTGCCTTTTGGTAACTTTGCCTTTCAATTGACTTTTATCTACTTAAGTGAGCTTTGCTAGTTATGCAATATTTTAATTCCCTAACAAACCTTAGTATCAGTGTTATTATATCAGTGGACCTTTAACAGCCACATTGAATATTTGCAAAATGTCAACATTATTACAGTTCTAGTTTTAAAAATAGTAAAACTGGTGGTTTTGTCCCTGCAGGCCATCAGACACATCGGGCATTTGGGGGCGAGAAGACCATGTGAAGGGTCGGTAGCAGAACCAGCGTAATGTAGCTGAAAGGGAATCAGCAAAACTGACTCATTCTATGAAGATGGGAGTGCTGAAATAAGGGCTATGTCCCTGTGTGCATGGACTCTTCCCCATCCCAACTTGGCTGGTGCCGGTTCGGCTGTGCAACAAAAGAAGGAAGCAATTTTTGCAACAGAATTTGTCTTTCATGATACCTAGATCTTTATGGGTGCCTGGTTCCAGAGTCCAGCTGTTTCATCTCGAGCTGAGGTTACCTATTCTTCATCAAGACGGCACGATTGGACATTCCAGTAGTTTTGGTACTGGACCGGGGACTAGGCATTCTAATAATGTGGTGCTGCTTTCTAAGTATCAAAACTTTGTATGCAGTTTGTACACACTGCTTGTGGAAGTTCTACCCTGTTTATGTTTAATAGTTGTTACCAACGATGTGTTCCATGCAGTTAATCGTGTATGTTTTGGCCTTTCTTGTGCTTATTGACGCCTGCAGTTTAAATGTTGCCAACAAAGGTGATGTTCGTCTGAAAAAGTTATTGCATACCATTCCATATGGAATTTTTGAAATTCTGTTACACAGAAGCCGTTTTCAAACTTGTCCTCGTATGATTGTATACAATTACAGGTGTCTTCTACAGAAGATGCTTGACCTTGACCTTGATGGGATTGGGTATTGAATGCAACGTTCACCTCAGTGGTCTTTCTAGGCTCAAGATATGTTTAAAAGAATAAACTTGGGTGCATACCCTTGTGAATGCATTTAATCATGTTTCCATCTTTTATTTATTTATTTTTAATTTATCAGCCATGACAACAGCATTTTGAATTGATGAGTGAAACTGTTTGCGAAACCACACTCCGGGCTGTTGTTCAAATTAATGCCAGATGACTAGAGAGCGGATTTACCCATATGGCGCAACAACGTCGGATAAACGTTGAGTGAGGATTGATTTCTCAACGCAGCAATGGTATGCTAACGGTGGATTCAACATTGAAATGAAACAGTTCAACGCTAAAAATAAGCTTTCGGCATTCATTTTCGTGAGATTGAACATGCGCTAATATTGAGTAATCGCTTGTAAGTACTCTATTGTGTACTGCCATCCACGGTTGGTTCCTTCGGAAGTTGTTAATTCCTTTACTGGATCGGGATCCAAGTACGTGAATGGTACAACTCCTTCTGCCCAGCAGAGGAATTCCAAGTCTGGCCCCACACCCAGATTTATCTCCACCAGAGATGAGCCAGACACGCCCTCGCAGGTCAGTTAACATGCTCAAGCATTCTCGCGAGAGATTCTCAAGAGCCCGACCCTGTATGGGCGCCAGGCAGTGAGACATGAAAATTCGGGATGCCGCCTCGGACTGGCCAGAAGTACCTGGGTAGTACCCAGGCGGTACATCCTATGGAGGAATTCTAAAGCTTTCAGCTGTACGTGGGAAAACATCAGGTAATGTGTTTTTGTTGGATAACGTGGATAAGTCCATGTTGAATCGCCAGACCATGATGAAAGTGAAATAATGAAATAATCAGATGAGAAAAACGAATATATCCTCCAAATGACTTTGCTAATCCTCGAGTAGTCACCATATGCGAAAAATGCGGTTATTTACGTATAGCTTCATTGCTGTTGATTCTTCGCTGAATCATGTCCCACCATTTCAACCTTTAGTCGATGCTGACACAACGTAGTTGTGCCGAATGGATATATTACCTAAAAATTGTTCAAACATGACCTAATGCACGAAATATGTCATAATAGGACCTGACGCCATGGACTCATCTTATGCCCCCCGGTACCAGCAATCCATCCAGGATTACACGGAAGCAGAAAAGTATGGTTTCACTGGAGGGGATTCTTATCGAATCAACGTTGAAAGAGCCCCGAGCCCTTTTTCCCGTCAGTGATCTGACCCGGAAAACATTCGTTTCCTGGACCTTCACTTACCCGCCGCTAGATGTCTCTCACGAGAGATTCCAGGCCCTCGTCCGCATTTTCACGCTTGTCAGAGAGAATCGACGCCGAGGAGCCCATCCGTCTCCATCTCCGTCCGATTTCCCCTTTCTCCCTATTCTCTTCCTCGGTTGATAGACTCTCGAGAGGCAATGACGTGAAAGCGAGGGCAGAAAACGATTCGCCTCGAGGAACACTTCGTCGCGTAACAACGTGTAACCACGTCGCCTGATAAAGAGTTTCCCGGTTTCTTCGCTCCTCTGGCTTTCTCGCCGTCACTCGAGATTTCATTTTGAGGATTCGTTTCTCGGTCATGCAATAGATCATTTTTTGGCGAAGCTCCTCAAACAAACGGAAACGGAAGAATTTTCCACCTGGGTAGGATTGGCACATGAGGATGAGGTAAACCCTGAATGTTTCGTAGAATGGCTGCCATAAAGTCCACGAAATTTTTGTGATGCATTAAACCTTGCGAGAGGTGAGAATTTATCAATCTCAAGCACCTTTTATAACTTCTCGAGGGAGTCGATTTTGTGCATCTGATTTCATCGAGAGACAGCCTGGGTCGTGGCCCGCAGGGTTGTCTGACGTGCAGTGATGCCGGATGCGTCGGGTTGCCGGAAAGCATTGACCGTCTTTCCAGCAACGAAACAAATTCCTGGCGATCAATAGAAAAAGGGAGATTCAAAATGTGGGTCGATTCACGACATTTGCCCTCATCGATGAACGTGTTAAACACGCAACCCCGATGAAAGCCCAGCAACCCTGCCTCGCAACCCTGCACGTCCACCGGACCCGTTCCCCGCCGAGCCAAGTCATTCCGCAACTCGAGTGGTCTCTTGAGGCTTACGCAATTCGGACCGGTTTGCCGTCAATCTGTTGTTGCGTTCGAGTGTGATGAGATTCCTCGAATTTTTGCTCTCTGGAATTCGTGGACGGTGGCCAAAATAATTAAGCTGGGCCGTTCGATGACGAAGGTCACTTCCTGGCTAGGACTTGCGGCCTTGCGCGACTTGTTGCCCGATGTTGCGACGGCTTGCATCCGTCCTCTACTCGAAGAGCCGAATGCATTGGGAAGGGGGAAGGGGTTAAGGGGGAGGAAAGTGGCGGGAAGTGGCATCTCGACCCATTTAGGAAGGCTGGCCTAGCTTACCTCGAAACTCCACGCCTCGCGTCGGCCAGTTCTCCGTACGATCGGGCTTGAAAAGCTGCCTTTGTGTGTGCAAGACTTGATGGGACGCAATACGCCGTTTCTTCGTCTCGTCCTTCACCTTCTTTCTCTCTTTATCTGCCAATCCCATTCGGCATGGGAAACTGGCAGATATTGCGGTCGGTTTCCCCCGTATAAGTGAGAAACCGACCGCAATGGGGAAAAGTATACTTTTCCCCCTGCCATCAGCCCGCATTCGCCATAACCGGATTATTGTCGTGCTCGCCTCAATGCGCACGAGCCGCCTGGGTCGGGGCGTCTGCCACCGACCGAAACTGTCAGTTCCCTTCCCGCCCTCGCGGCCGACGGATCCATAGCCGATAACGGGGGGAATGGTTGCTCGCGTCAGCGCGGACAGGGTTGTTCGCTAGCCGAAACGCCGCATCTGGCATCCTACACGGTCGTACTCTCCTCCCATCTCAACGTAGCATCGAGGACTTTCTTCCGGGACCAGTCACGTAGGCCAACGACGTACGATTTTTTTTTTTTCCAATGAAGTTGGATAGTTATGATGGGGCGGTGGGAAGTAATTCCAGAGGTATAGCGACCAGTGGAGTGGCAGATCTGTACCTGGGGTTGTATTCTAGTTCTTATCACGAAAGACCACCACTTTCACCACTCATCTTTCGTCAGCGAGCCGGATGATACCCTTGGAAGTTTCTTGCAAAGATTTATTAAATATTACAATTTTTTTAAAAACAAAAATCGTAATAAAGTCTCGGAAGACGTCTTCACCTTACCCCCCTTCCCCTCTTCTCTCTTGCCCCCCTTGCCCCTGCCCCCAGAAAAGTTTCATCGACGAGCAAGAGTGAAAGGAGGGTCGTCACAATTCGAAGTATTCGAAGTCTGAGCCGGACCTATTGCCCGAGACGGCGGACGACTTGGACTCTCCTCTCCCACCTGCAGTTCCTTCAGTCCAATGCCACGTGACTACTTGGAAGAGGCTTTAAAAAAAAAAAGTCCCTGAAATCCCAAACGACCCCCCACTATCAGCCCCAGATGCGTCCGTTCCCTGCCTTACCCCCCCCCCCCCCTCCCCGCCGCGCCTTCGAACCATTTCCACCTGTTTTCCGACCGCTCTGAAGGCATCCACGTATCACGATGCACCCCGCTCTCCTCATCTTGGGACTGGGCCTCGGGGTCCATGCCCTCTACGAGGACGATGAGCTGCTCTTCGACACCTTCCCCGAGGGATTCACCTGGGCGGCGGCCACCTCCGCCTTCCAGATCGAAGGCGGGTGGAATCTCGACGGTAAGCTCCTTCTCACGCATCTTCCCAGCGGTTTGAGTCAGTTTCCATCGTTTTAGCTAACGAGACGAACGTTATGTGGGTTTATTATCGTTTAAACATAGGGCTTTTAACGAAGATGGAGTTATAATGGTGGAAACAGTGATTTTAAACGATCATAACGAGAGTCTAAGTACCTATCTGAAAGCTCTGAGAATTCAGGGCGCCCCTCTCTCTCTCTCTCTCTCCCTCTCTCTCTCTCTCTCTCTCTCTCTCGCGAACTCCGCGATGGAGATCATCAGGAGAGCGTGAACGAGACATTAGGGTAAAACACGGAATTTTCTGCGCATGTGTGTCGAGGCTAAACACGATTAAACCCGAGTCCATCCGCAACGGACCAGAGAAGGGAAACGACTCGTATCTCCGCCGAGAGATGGCAGCACCGCGCGGATCTGCGCACTCACCGCGCGGATCTGCGCACTCACCACGCTGGGGTTGGAAAATTCTCCAAGTTCCAGGCGAGGACGAGGGGAGAGCACGCTCACATTTAATAACAGGATTAACCAATTTGCGAATTTCTGATTTCGACACTCTGTGAATCTCTCCACTCTCTCGCATGCCGCAGAGATTTATTGTCTCTTTGCATCTCATGTTGCATGTTGAATCGTGCAGGGAAAGGAGAAAGCGTCTGGGATAAATTTCTGCACGACTCATGCGTGGCTCCGGAATGCGCGAACGGGGATGTGGCATGCGACTCCTACCACAAGTGGGAGGAAGACATCCAGCTCCTCGTCGACATGGAGGTCGTCGTCTTCTTCGATTTTCATTTCCTCTATTTTATTTTATTTTATTTATATATATTTTATATATATATATATATATATTTATTTTTTTGGGAGGGGGGTTTCCGCACGTGCCCCGCCGGGCCTCCACCCGCCCCACTTTCGTTGCGGCCGATTTTTTCCGTAGGTGGATTCGTATCGTTTCTCTCTGTCGTGGCCGCGAATCCTTCCGTCGGGGACGGTGGACGACATTAATCAGGCGGGGATCGACTATTATAACGACCTGATCGACGGACTCCTCGCCGACGGCATCCAGCCCATGGTGAGACTCACTTTCGCCTCTAATTCTACCTTACCACCTTATAAATGGTCGTGGACGTTAATTATCACATGATCTACTTTTACTCTCCTCGTTTTCGCCCATCCGTTTGCTTATCGTAACTTTCCTTCGCTTCCATCTTTTGTTCCATTTTTTGGTAATAAAATATATTAAAAATCATGATGAAAACCGATAGGTGACGCTGCACCACTGGGACCTGCCGCAAGCCCTCGAGGATCGCGGCGGCTGGCTCAACGCGGAAGTGCAAGACTGGTTCGCCGAATTCGCGAGACTCTGCTTCCAAGAATTCGGCGATCGCGTCCGTCTTTGGATCACCATCAACGAGCCGTGGGTCGTCGCGTGGCTGGGTTACGGGAACGGACTCAACGCGCCGGGCGTCGGGGACAGTCCGGGGATAAAGACCTACGTGGCGGGGCATAATCTTCTGCTGGCGCATGCGAAGGCGTATCGGATCTACCACGAGGAGTTCGCGGCGGTTCAACAAGGTGGCTTTTTCTGCGTCTGTCGATGGGAGCCGAGTCGTCTGATGAGCGTTTCTGCGTTCGGGACTGTCTTGGTTCTCATTTTCATTGTTATTATTATTTTTTTTTCCTCGGTTCACTACTGTAAAATTATTGTATAGTGAAGATAGATCAGACCGAGGTTTATAGGCTCGAACCTGGCTCGCGCCAGCAACTTCGGGCCCGAGTTCACTTCAGTCCGACCGAGTCAACAGAAAAAATTCACTCGGTGAAACCCAGGAGCAGCGGCGCGCTGAGAATTAGGCATGTGTATGTCCCCCCCCCCCCCCCCCCCCCCCGCCCCCGCCCCCGGGGGAGAGGGGGGGCAGCATGTGGGGGTGCTTCGATGGATCTTGATTCAGTCGGTGCCTGTGCAATCGCGTCTCACGGGGTGGGTCTGTGTTTCTGCGTCTCTTGGGTCTCATTCCGAACAATTAACCATTCACGTAAGCACATTTGCTCTTGCACGGACGAGAGAGATTCGAGTGCAGAGCAGAGTCATGGTGGAAAACGATTTCGTCCTCGTGACTTAATTGCTTATTTACATCACTTAATTTACAGTTCACGAATATCGCATGCAACAAGCATTCCGTTCCGTCCGATGAGAACGAGTGTTAATACCTCTGGGAAATCGATGTCGATGTCGTTTTCGCACGAGATCATCGTGATTGCTTCACGTCTTCTCCCTCGCTCACGGTTCATTAAATTCTTCATTTCGCACGGTTTCGCAAATTCCCTTTCCACAGATGCTGCAGGAACTGGAGTCCCCGCTGTTAAAAAAAAAAAATTAAAATAAATAAACAGAATAAACCGGATACAGATTACGGACCGGGGAAAAAAATTTGCAGATGTGGATTTGAGCCATTTCCTCTGAGTAGGCCCAGGCCACTCACATCATCCCCCATTCGCATTCTTTTCGCAGCAAAAATATGACTTTGTTTCTGGAATGTCTATTAAATTTCTCTGGAATGTCAACCTGAACCACGCCCAGTAAGAAGCAGTCCACTCGCCTCTCTCGCGTCCACTCGCCTCCCTCGCGTCCACTCGCCTCCCTCGCGTCCACTCGCCTCCCTCGCGTCCACTCGCCTCCCTCGCGTCCACTCGCCTCCCTCGCGTCCACTTGCCTTCTTCGTCTCACAGGGAGGATAGGGATCACGCTGAACTCGAACCTGAGGGAGCCATTGGACCCGGAGAATCCGGATGACGTGGAGGCGGCTGCCGTGAAGCAGGAGTTCGAGCTGGGCTGGTTCGCGGATCCCGTCTACTTCGGGGACTACCCGCAGTCCATGAAGGACAAGGTAGGATTTCGTCGGATGGCCGTCATGGCCGTCATGGCAGTCGTGGCTGTCATGACAAGAAACGGTCGAAAATTTCTTTTCCCAACGTTTCGCGGACTCCTTTAACTTTTTTTTTTTCATCTTGGCCCCGATGGACTTTACATCAAGTCGGTCCTCAAAATATGGAATATAAGAACAAATTCTATAATGAAAAAGCGAAAAGCCTCTCACAGAAGAAACTCCATGCAGATAGCAGAGAAGAGTTCGGCGCAGGGATTCCTCCAGTCCCGCCTCCCCGAGTTCACCGACGCCGAGAAGGAGCTGCTGCTCGGGAGCTCGGACTTCTTCGGGCTGAACGCGTACACGTCCTTCCTCGCGGCGTACAGCCTCAAGCCGCTGGAGTGCGTGAGCTACGAGTGCGATTCCGACGCGGACGAGTCGCAGGACTCTTCCTGGTACAGGTGAGAGGAGGGGCTTTACGCAATTTTATCTGCGTCGAACCGGATCGATTTGATGGAAAACGTGATTTCAAAATTTTTTTATAATAATTTAATTTATTTCGGTTTATTTTAAGACCCGATTTGCATAACGGGAACTGCGATTAAAATCCGTGGTTTATCCTGTTCCCCCCCCCCCCCCCCGGCCTCTCGGGCGCAATCATCCGAGACGACTCTCAATGCTCTGACACCTTCAAAAGGCCTTTGATCCCCTTTGAAGATCTGAAGCACCTCCGACCATGAGCACCTCCGACCATAAGCACCTCCGACCGACTTGATGAGTATAAGGCGCGCTTTCTTCCGATCCTAAAGGAGCGCCCGGGGTGGCACTCCCCTCATGCCATTGCCCAATCACAGAACGCTTAGGATCGACTTCCAGGATCGACTTCCAGGATCGTCTTACAGGATCGCCGCGTCTCGTTAAAGAGCTGCTTCTTCGCCGATCCTTGATGCTTGATTTCGGCTCTACACTCTTAGAAAAAAAGTGAGCGATTTCCGAGAAAGGGAGCGGAACTGGAGTTGGCGATTTGACTCCCTACAATCAAGGAAGTATTGCCCGCTCACCTCTCTCTTTCCTGAGAATAACCACTATTAATAGTTACTATTAATACTATTAATAGTTTGAAAAGTACTCTCCCTCATTCGTTTAGCGCTCTCGGAGATCGCTCACTCTTTTCTAAGAGTGTGCATTTTCTTTTGCCACTAACTCCCGCATTTCTGTCGGCTTTTCCGCGGTCACTCAGGCTTCATTTGTGTCCTCGTCCATGCCCTTTTTTTTAATTATTAAAAGGACCTAATTTGCATTGAAATTAACCACTTTCGTTCGTTCTTTAAACCGGAGTGATTTAAAGCCGAACCGATTTTCGGAGACACGATACCTTTTTAAGTACCCAGTACCTGTCCTAAAAGTAGCCGTTTTGGGGCTTGCAGCACCGGATCGGGCTGGCTGAAGCTGTACCCACAAGGATTCCGGAAGCTGCTGAATTACATCAAGGACAGATACGGAAACCCGGAGGTGATCGTGACGGAGAACGGGAGCAGCGACACGGCGGGGAACCTCGACGATGCTCTCAGGGTTTATCAGCTCAAGCATTACCTCAATCAACTCTTGAAAGGTATGTTTCCATGTCTTTATGCTTTTAATTAGTTGAGTTAATTTTAATATATCAGTTTTTTTTGTTTTTACTTAAAAATTTTTGTTTTGCTGCTATTCTGTTTTTTATTTTTGGCTTTTAATTATTCCGGGTTGTTTTTAGCGTGTCGGGTTTCATCATTTATGTTAAATTAATTTTCGAGGGGTGAAATAGTTCCGAATCGTAATTTTGCGTTTGGTGAATTTTTTTTTAGCCGTGAAATTGGACGGGTGTAACGTGACGGGCTACGCGGCCTGGTCTCTCCTGGACAATCTGGAATGGGGAGTCGGATACTCGTAAGTCTTCGAATTTCCATTTCCCACCTTTTTCCTGGCATCTCACGAAATTTTTTTTTTTTCCAGGCAGAAGTTCGGTCTTCACTTCGTGGACTTCTCCGATCCGGAGAGACCCCGAACGCCGAAGAAGTCTTCTCGCTTCTACCGCCAAATCATTCGGGACAACGGCTTCGTCGAAGAAAATATTTGCCCGTATTGATTTGACTCAGAGAAATTTACCATCGAGAAATAAACAGACCTTCGCCGAACGACAAACACAATGACTCGAATCATGAGCAGATTACTCATGAGCAACTCATGAGTAACTGATTAACTGATGAGCATTCGTTCGAGAGCACTCGTGCACGATGGTCCGTCGCCGTTGCGCTCGAGACGAAATCTGCCTCGAGAAGCCCCGCCCAGCGCGCGTCGTCTGCAGGGCGATGACGTCACGGGCGCGGTCTGCTCTCTGGGCGGAGTGCGGAGACGTCACGCGCGTCGTCTGCTCGTGACACCCTAGGCGCGTCGAGGGAACGCCGCTTACACATGCTGCGGCAGTGGCCACTCTCGTTTCGGTGGCGTCGGGAAGAGACCTCCAGTTCTCGCGCTCTCGTCGAATCGTGCTCTCGTCTTCCAAGTCGATTCTTCTCGTCGCATTCGCACATGTGCTGCTGCAAACTGAGTTGAGGTAAGGGGAGTCAGATGTTACGTTTGTTGTAACGTTACGTTGCTGGCGTGATGATCTTCCGACGTTGGTGGGAATTCCACCACGTTTGTCGCAGTGTTTTACTCGAAAGGAAATTATGTCGCTCGATTCCTGTTCCTTTCCCATCTTGTTGTTTTCCACTCGATTGCCTCGGAATACTTATAAAACGACGCTCCTTTTACAGGTGCCTGAAAATCGTGATTTCAGTTAAATATAGTTCACAAAAGAAATTCCGAGGGCCCCTCACGTAATATATACAGAGAGCTCCGGTACTTTTCCAAGAAGTTGAACGATCGAAACAGATCCCCGGGAGCTTTTGCTGCCGTCTGGGACATTTTCCGAGAATTCTCGTTTCAAATGAGTCACGTCGCGTGCGTGGCCGCTTTTTTCTCTTCGGGCCATTTTGCGAGATCGCAAATTCACGATCGGAGAAAGTCGATTCGGTTTGCAACTCCGATCGCAGTCACGTAACAAAACAAAAAAGAAAATTGGTTTTGCTCCATTTCGCCGATCCGGACTCAACCCGACTGGAAGCGACACGAAACGATCATCAGTCCCCGATCGCAAGTCCCCGATCGCGAGTCCCCGATCCGTCCCGATCATCCAGGTCACGGTCATCGATGAATTAGCGAAATGAACCCCTTCTCCCCCCTTCTCCCCCCCCCCCCCCTTCTTCCCATCGAAGAGGGGCGACAGCGTGGGAACGGCCGGAAGTGATACCGGTCCATTCGGTTCGCAAGGACCCGGCCATGACGCAATCACGAACCTGTAATTTGCGTATGCGTCTTGATGGACTCAGTTGATGATTTTGTCCCGGTTAACCTTCGAGACCGCGTAATTACCTCAACAGATTGATATCAATCCTTAATGAATTCATTTCCTTTCAAGTACTTTGAAACTTATTATATATTTATTCCTTTTTTTTTATTTATTCATCATCATATATTTATCATTTATTTATCATTATGTATTTTTTATTATTTATTTATGTAATTTATACCCGTCGGAGGCTCCTCGCGATCGTGCCTTGCCCCACCCACCGGGCTTCCTTTTACGAGCAGCGTCATTCGTCTTTCGCCCAAGGACGCGCGGGAAACCGACGGCGAGAAAAATGCGAAGATGCAGGCGGGGTGCCGCCTGCATCTTCGCATTTCTCCGCATTTCTTCGCATTTCTTCCGCCTCTTCGAGTCCGCATCGCGCCGGAAACCAAGTCAACATCATTAGTTATGAGTCTGTTTATTTCTGTCGGCCAAACAGACGGAGTTTATTCGGAGCGTACGTGGTAAACGGATGTTTCGAAGTGGATGTATATTTGCCCAGAACAATGGGGGGGGGGGGGGGGGGGGGGGGGGCAAAATAT